AATCCATTTCTTCTGCTGTCAAGTGGAGGAAGTCGAGTGGCAGTTCAAGTCAGTAAGTACTTCAAACAATTTGGGTTATTTGCAGCATTATTATAATTATCTTTACCAGTAGCTCGTTGCATCCATGGTGAAAAGCAGCAAGTGCCAACCCCGGGGCTGGTTCATGATTATCACCAAGACATGGGGGTGTTGACATCCATGACCAGATCCAGATGCAGCGCTACAGTGTGCAGTTGTCTTACAAGTCGAGAAAGTATTACAAAACACTGTTTCTCGGGTTGCTTGACATGACCCTCACCAATGCTTATATCGTGTACCGATACAACCGGAAAATTCAGAACAAGAAGCCACCCAAGCACTTCGCTTTCTTCGAGGAGCTTATGGAACAATTCATCGCGATCGACTCAGGCGAAGCATCCGCAGCAATCGAGGTTCGTACTATGTGGATATGTCAACATAATCGTTCACTATGTCTTTATTGGTCAACATTAGGACTAACATAATTGTTTTTATTGTATTTTGAAGGAAGCAGCCAATTCCCGAGAGCGAACAACACCGTCGCCTTCGAGAGAAACGTCGATGCAAGGTACAAGTGCGTATTTTGGGAGTTAGGTTGGGTGTGGGTACAGCGTGAACATGAGTGTATAGGGACGGCACATCCAACTTAAATAGGCTCTATGTAGACAAATTTGGACGGTTTGACTGGTAATGATGGCTTTACCAACCTTAAAAAGGGCCGTTTATTTGTTTGCACATTTTTGTAGCATTGCACACGTCCAGCATCAGTGAATTCGATCAATACAGCCAATGCTGTCAAGAAAAAGAAACGTTTCAATTGATTGCTTGCTACAAAAAATCCATGTAGGCTGAACAGCAACCTACAACACCTCGACTGCCCTTCCTCCCTTATTTCCACTTTTATTGTCGCTAACTTCGTCGCCCTCACCACCGTCGCTCTCGGTGACCGCCTCGCGCCGGTGTCTGCGATGCTTCCCTTCGTGTCTTGTTGCCTTGTTCGAGCTCGGCGGGTATCTCGTCGCCGTTCTTCCACTCGAGATGTCACACTCGAAAGCAGATATCCCGACCGTCCCGCCCCATATTGCACAAGTACTTTCTGGTAGAACGTCAAACAAGTAAGTACACCCATTGTCGCCTAAAACACCAATACACGCACCTTTTGTTTCCGTTCGAACATCCAGGAGAATAGTACTTTGTGAATTTTCTGGGCTTGACCTTCTAGACTGCGCAGACTTTGCAGGAACGATGGCACCGTTTCACTCCGTGCTCGCCCTCAACAGTGTCAGGATACTCCTCAAGGCGATGGTCGTCCTCAATGTACACATCACCGTCCGCGTACGCCCCGATTTGATGTTATATTCGACTGCGCGGGCTATTGTGGCAACAACAAAAAACTCTATCGAGCGCCGTACTCTTCGTGCAGTGATGTGTGCAACGGTTTCATTCACTCGTATTACTGGCTGCTGTTACTACCACACTGCCTTATTTGCATATAAGCAGGCCAACGCATACTCGAGCAATTGACGAAAAAGGAACTATGGCCTCGAACAAAAGTAATATGCACGTGTGCTGATGCAGCACTTACTTTTATTTTTTCTGCGGTCAACGTAGCATGTATGTCATGGGGATCTAAGCGGGTCAACCTGGATTGAGTGAAATACGAGGTTCCGTCGATATTACGAAAGAAAAGCGTATCCCTGATGTTTGATCAGTACAACGTCACTCGCCCAGGCAAAACAGAATTATAGCGCTCTATATTTTATAAGCTATGTTCTGTATTGACACATATAACAGTTCAATCGCGTAGAGCCGTCGACTACGTGACGGGAATTTTACTAAATGATACGATGATCATGATGAATCGCGTTATTGGCGTCTTTATTCCCGAAGTAGGGGAGAATATAGAACGGGATGTGCAAGTATTGAAGGCATGGTTGAAATACATCAGTTTTAGCGATGCTGACATGTCGAACCGGGTCGGCTCGTATGTCCTGTTCAAAATTGTCCACGTCATCAAGCAGATTTTGGTTTATCAGCACCCTCTCCTGATACCCCCAATCGAAGTGTGTGTTGCTGCGCTTGTACAAGTATGAAGAGAGTGAGGGAAGGGATATATGAGAAATTCAAATTTGCTGAGGCATCTGAGGAAGCATTGTCAGTTGTGGTAGATTGTTATGAAAAGTTTGATTTGTTTATGGGGCACCGATTGCGAGTGGTAAACCAACAGCGAGCACTTCATGAACTGTGGCAGAACATGAAAAAGCGGTGTATCAATGACACAGGTTCAAATCAAATTCTTCTCGTTATAGATTTCAAAATGGAAGTCGGGCCTCTGTACTTTCGAGAAAACTACTGATCATTATGGAAAGCGCAGAATGACGTGGCATGACGCGATGGCGCGGGTTTGGACTCTAGAGCCAAGTTCTGAAAGTGATAATTTGGTTCCAGGGTAAAACAAAGTATATTTTGACCACATTTCTGCAAGTGACTACAAGCAAGATCGCGAAGCTGTCGTTGCATATATGGAGGCCATTATCCCTTCATAAAAAGTGATCTCCGAGATGCTTCCAGTGTTACCGTGCAAAGTGATAATGCTACCAGTTATCAAAAAGGCCTTTGTTGCTTATATACTTCCTGTATTGGCATTTCTCATTGCATAAATATTTGCAGATTTCTTCAGACGGAGGCCCAAGACGGAAAATCCATGCTCGATGCTCATTTTGCGCAAGAAATGAGGAAAGTAAAAGTTTTTATTCAACAAGGACATGATTGCTATACACCGCGACAGCTTGTTGATGCGCTAAATGATGATGGAGGACTGTACAATTCCATAGCTGAGCTCATTGAGTACAAGCAGAAAGCTACCGTGGACCTACGTCGACATATTGATCCCATGAAAAAATCTTTCACCAAACTGGTAGGACGAGTGAATGATATTTTTTACGAGTAATCACATCCAGGCGATTTCGGAAACACGAAGAATAATGTAACCACAGATGGGGATGGCACTACTTCCTGTTTTCCCTCAACACTTTAGTTTGCATGCATTTGATTACTCTGGTACTGGAGTTGGAACGAAAATTGTCGTAGATCCGCAGACCTTGAAATGTTCTCTAATGAAAATAGCTCCCTTAAAGCTGGATGGACGGCTACAGCACTCCCAGACGAAAGTTCTTTAACAGAAGAATGCAAGAAGACGACATGTCGAGTAATGCTAATTACGATGAAAGCAAGTAGGAGAGGAGCTCATTTCCGAACTATATCTAAGTGACACCGACGAGTGTGTTTCAGGGTCTGAATCAGCAGTTGTCGGGGGAAATTTCCCTCAAACTGTGAACGGTTATGTTTCTGGAGTGAACAAAGCTACTTTTGTAGGGATGCGAAGGAGAACTCAACTGTGTGTAAGTGAACCTCAAGTCAACGAAACTGCACACTTGGAGTGGACAAAAACCTCCCCGACACCAAAAGGATGTACTGACGTACGCAAGGCGAAGTTTGCTTGACATGAAGCACGCTGGAGATCTCACAGAAATTGCGTCAGCGGAGTTGGCTAACAAGATGATCAAACTTGGATGTAGATATACCGCAATAACTTTCGTATCTGTGATTCTCGAGCAAGGCTGGCCGGGGCGACCGCCAAAAGGGAGTATGTATGGAACAAAATATGTCGCTTGCTACAAAGACGATATTGTTGAACGTTTTCAACGCGGAGTTGATGTGCTCTCAAATAACCTTGGTTCACGAAGAATGCTCGAAATTATTCAAGCAAATTTATCTTGCATATTTGTTTTCCCCAGCATTAGCTACATTCGCGCTGAAATATCCAAGCTGATAAAAAACAAAAAGCATTTAGGCTAGAAAATATTTCTGAGGATGAATCCACTGTTTTACAAGAAGATTCAGCAACACAAGCGGTAAAAAGAACCAAACCGAAAGAGGAAAAGTAATGGATAGTATTCGCGCAGAATTTCTCAAGCGCTTTCTTGATGTGGACCCAGTAATTGTTGCAAAACTTGCTATCCAAAATTTCGCGAGGCATTCCCTAGTTCATTCTCCGTGGAGTATGCTACCATTCGCAACAAAGTGCAAGCTCTGAAGCATCAACGAACCTTATACACTACAAGTGTTGACGACTGACTCGATCGCATTTGCGTTGTACCCGACACGATGTCTTCTGTCGCCATTAGGCCACCGTAGAAGATGGCATACGCGCTGTTCATGCCAGAATCCAATGGTCTGTCACTTTGCGATTTCCTTCGCCCCTTTTGTCGAAAAACTGTTGATATTTCTCATCTCTCTCCTACAATGTCGAGAAATAAATGTCGAATAGTAAATTCAAGGGTCTGTTTCTTCATATTCTCTTTATTTTCATAATGAATACTCAGTTCCGTAGAGCCCGAACGTTGTATTTCTGTGTGCAAAGCTCAAACTACTAAAACTCAAGAAACTTTGACAATGCTCGACCGTACTTACTGTTCCGCCGTTTCCAGCGCCCCGTAGTTCTAACGCATAAGTACACGAATTTGAATGACGAATGCTTCGTGTCCCTGATTTCACCTACGATATTGATTACCTTGGTTTCTTGGTGACCAAATACATAATATATGTTGTATTTTACGTTGAATATCTTATTGGAGTAATGTATGATCTGAAGAAAGTGATAATAATGGACTGTAAAAGAGAGAACCCGTTTTGATTTTTATGTTTCGTAGAAACGTTTCGGCATTTTTGTAACAGGCAGCTTGCGACAGTGCAATTTTTTATTGCAAAATGTTCAAGCCTTAGTCGATTATTCTTTGCATTGGTTCTGTCATGACTCAGTTTCCATTTTGCTTCGTCGAAGGAAAGCAAAATCCCAGGCCACAAAAATCACCTTGCTTCGCCTAGAAGCCCAGTCACCGACTGGATCAGACGTGTCGAAAATTATGTAGGGGCTGAATACCTACGTTTCGTCCACCGGCTAAACCCATTGGTACAACTAATTACTCATAGGGGCCGTCTGGAGTTTGGAATGCCGTGAAAGGTTCATCCCCTTCACGCATCCTACACCGTTAATATCCACGCAATAGTTCCAGGCAGTTGTAAAAATATTATCCTTATATCTTTTCCAGGATCACGACTTTCCTTGGTATCGGCATAGTTCTTCGAACAGTGTAGATTGAAAGCCCTGTAGTCATGTACAATTCTCCAACCGACACGTTTCTTGATGCTGAAAGTGGGAGCATAGTGAGGGGATGTTGACGGTCGGATGTACACAGCATCTAACATTTAAGCTGGCCATTTCCGAACATCTTCGTCTTAACTGCCTCCATTGCTGCTTTAAGATGGCTCCGATGTCGTCACCTTCATTTCATGGGTTCCATGATCAATTGGTGGATGTTCGTGGGGTAACTTCCGCTTGACCATTTATTCATGTTTCTTTAGTATGGCGTGCACTGGACTGGCTCGGAATGATTCCACCAAAACTTCTTGCTTACTATACCTTCTCAGATCTGGATCCACGGTAATTACCGTAGGTCCGGGGACACCTGTCACTCCACTTGATCCGGTCACTCCTGTCCGCAATTTCCCGGAACCCAATTTACCACAATAGCGCGCAGCATAACACCATTCATTTTCTCTACAAGACGGTTTTCCTCATGTGTGTATGTATTCGTATATACAGGTCGAATTCAATTTGCTTGCATGAACCTTTTCAGTTCTTCATTCTTGAATTCAGAACCATTATTGGAGCCAATGAATCTCACTTGCCGACCATTTTATTTGAGCTGCGGAATAAGCGTTTTCAAGTTGCCAAGCACTCTGAGATTTATGTTGCAACAAGCAACCCGACAGGTACCGTGAGGATTCGTCTTCAACAAGCTGGAACTTGACGTTTCCACCAGCAGATTGTTCTCCATAGTGACAGACATCGGACATTAATTTTTCGCAACACAGAATTGACCGTCTTGGATGAAATTTTACTGTAGGGCATCCGCCGCGACTTAGGTAACGTGCAACCCAGGCAATCGATGACATATTCACTCTACGCATAGGAGGGATGTCCATCCCGATCACATGTTGCTCATGATATACCTTCTGTAACGTTGTTGCATTCAAATGTTCAAAGCGCAGGTGCCACCTAAAGAGTGAACTGTCCGTCTGCATGGTCGGTGCAACAATATGGTTGGAAGCAAAACAGCTGCGAGTCTTATAGTATCCACGACTTTTCTCATATATAATAGCTCTTGACCCCTCATACATCAGATGCTACGGAATTTCATTCTCGAGATATCGCGACTCACATCGCCAACCGGTTTCCTCCAAAGCAATTACACTAAACAAGCTCATGTGGCAACCAGGGGCATTGCAAACCCCAGTCAAGATACATAACAGCGCACTGACACGACGTCAGTGAAAACTTTTCGTGTAGGAGATGTATAGCGTAGCCAGAATC